TCCCCCCAGGATAACAACTCTTCCAGGAGTAAATTTTCTTCCTAGGAGTAGGTTTCTCTCACTTCCTATCATTATCATTATTATTTATTTATTTATATTTCGCTTTATCTCTCCCTTCGGAGACTCGAAGCGGCTCACAATTCAAAACATAACAACTTACACAAAGATACAATAATAAAACAGCCTTATCATTATTTATTATTATATATTATCAGTAGCATTATATTTAATATAATAGTATAATAATAATATAATAATATTTAATATGGCGGGGACGAGGGACGGGGCCTTCTCTGTGGTGGCTCCTCGGCTGTGGAACGCCCTTCCCGTGGACATTAGATCAGCCCCTTCGCTAATGGTGTTTCGAAGAAAACTAAAAACCTGGCTGTTTGAACAGGCGTTCGAATAAATAGTGCAATGAACACAATGAATATAGGAAACGGAATTATGGATGACGAATTGGATCACGATTTTAGTTATGAGACGTTAATGTGTTGTTATTGAGATGTCATTAGTTTGTATTTTATACTGTTAATGGTTTTAATATTGTATGTTGTTCGATTGTCTTTTGCTCTTGTTGTGAACCGCGTTGAGTCGCCTACGGGCTGAGAAACTGCGGTATACAAGCAAAGTAAATAAATAAATAAATAGTATATTATATGTATATAATATATGCATATATATGTATGCAATATATGTATTATATATATAGTATATTATATAGTATATTATATATAGGAGCCCCTGGTGGCATAGTGGGTTAAAGCACTGAGCTGCTGAGCTTGTTGATCAAAAGGTCGCAGGTTCGATCCCGGGGAGCGGCGTGAGCTTCCGCCAACCTAGCTTCTGCCAACCTAGCAGTTCGAAAACATGCAAATGTGAGTAGATCAATAGGTACCGCTCCGGCGGGAAGGTAACAGCACTCCATGCACTCATGCCAGTGGCCACATGACCTTGGAGGTGTCTACGGACAACGCTGGCTCTTCGGCTTAGAAATGGAGATGAGCACCACACCCCAGAGTCAGACATGACTGGACTTAATGTCAGGGGACTACCTTTACCTTTTTATATTATATGTAATATAAGGTATATATTATTTATTTACTTCATTTATTTACCGCTTTTCTCAGCCCTTAGGCGACTCAAAGCGGTTAATAATGATAAATATACTATAATTCTATTTAGTATAAGGTATATTTAACATATAATACCTAATATGTTAAATATTATTTGTTTGTTTATTTGTTTACCACCTTTCTCAGCCCAGAGGCGACTCAAGGCGGTTCACAGTTGGCAACAATTCGATGCCACAACAATCAAAACAGTCATAAATACTATTAAAACATTTAACATATCGTATAAATCAGTACAAAGCAAATATAATAATATATTAAATATATATTAACTACTAATAAATATAAATATTATATTACTATATTACTGTATTATTATAATATGTATTTATTTGTTTATTGATTGCCAGATCACCTTTCTAATTACACCATGTAACAAAACCTCTGTTCCTGATTTGAAAGTGTTATTTCCTGTTTAATTGTGCGGTCCTGACTTTGAAAGTAGTAAACAAACAGAAACTTGGTTGTTTTTGTGTCTGCCACAAGTGAAGTTGAATGGGTTGAGACTCAATGATGACATATTCATTGGAAAACTAGATCAAAATGTGCCGCTGCAGGAAGTCCCTCCCGCAAGAACAAAGCTTTTGCAGTTTGATAAACTTTCCCCGTGTTTTGGCGATAGAACCAATTCGGAAATGACATTTATTACAACCTAGAGAAGACAATTATGCTGGGGAAAGTGGAAGGCAAAAGGAAGAGGGGCCAACCAAGGGCAAGATGGATGGATGGCATCCTTGAAGTGACTGGACTGACCTTATTTATTTATTTATTTATTTATTTCATACACTTATACCCCGCCCTTCTCCCCCCTGGGGGGACTCAGGGCGGCTTACATAAAGGGCACAATTAGATGCCCAAACACACAACAATTAGTCCAAAAAATATAAAATCAACAATTAAGTTAAACAACAATACATAATAAAAGAATAAATCCTAAAAAACAATCTCATGTCAGAGTCCAAATATCAGAGTCCTTACATCCGTTCTATTCCGTTTGTCATTGTCTAACGCCAGTCCTTGATTTAATTATCAGAGTGACCAAAAGCTTGGTCCCACATCCAGGTCTTTAGGTTTTTCCTAAATGCTAGGAGGGAGGTCGCCGATCTAATCTCCCCGGGAAGTGCGTTCCATAGGCGGGGGGCCGCCACTGAGAAGGCCCTGCTCCTCGTCCCCGCCAGCCTCACTTGTGATACTGGCGGGGTCGAGAGCAGGGCCTCCCCAGAAGATCTTAAACTTCGAGGTGGGACGTAGAGGGAGATCCGTTCGGACAAATACCTTGAGGGAGCTGGGGGTGGTAACGGCCGACAGGGAGCTCTGGCGTGGGCTGGTCCATGAGGTCACGAAGAGTCGGAGACGACTGAACGAATGAACAACAACAACAACAAAGGACAAAGTGTGATGATGATGTGTCTGTTCCACCTTGTTTCCTGCAATGTGCTAATAATATAATATATATTGTATATACATATAGTATTGATAATATTATAATGTAATACAATATAATAATACTAATAATAATAATAATAATACGATATTATATTTATGGACCAATTAGGAAATATCATTTATTATAACCCAGGAACAAAGTGTGATGACGATGTGTCAGTTCCACCTTGTTTTCTTCACTGTGATAATAATATATATAATATAATATACAGATAATATTATAATGTAATACAATACTACTAATAATAATACGATATTATAATTATGGACCAATAAGGAAATGTCATTTATTATAACCCAGGAACAAAGTGTGATGGTGTGTCAGTTCTACCTTGTTTCCTGCACTGTACTAATAATTAATATAATATATTGTATATACATATAATATTGATAATATTATAATGTAATACAATATACTACTACTAATAATAATACGATATTATAATTATGGACCAATAAGGAAATGTCATTTATTATAACCCAGGAACAAAGTGTGATGACGTTGTGTCAGTTCCACCTTGTTTTCTGCACTGTGCTAATAATGTAATGTAATATAATATACTGTATATAAATATAATATTGATAATATTATAATGTAATACAATATGTGATGATGATATGTCAGTTCTACCTTGTTTCCTTCATTGTGCTAATAATATAATATAATATATTGTATATACATATAATATTGATAGTATTATAATGTAATACAATATAGTACTAATAATAATAATACAATATAATTATATTTATATTACATGTAATATTACTAATAATATTACAGCATAATGGTAGAGCACAATATAGTAATATATAATACTAATATTGTGCTATGGTAATAATATAATATATTGTTGGAGCTCAGCCTGTGATTGTGTTTCAGGATCAGGGTGCTTTGGATTTGGGGAGTGATGTCAATTGATGTCAAGATGGGTTTCAAGATATCAATGGTCTGGTCAAGGATATCGATGCAGAGAATGACCAGGAGATCCCTGTTCAGAGTGTAGTTTCCCATGAGAATGTCCCTGAGGGGTGTGGGATGATGGTGTGCTTTCTGAATTATTACCATTGAGTTCCCATGAGGCCCCTTCTTTGGGAGCTTTTAAACAGGGGCTGGATGGCCATCTGTCAGGGGTGATTTGAATGCAATATTCCTGCTTCTTTGCAGGGGGTTGGACTGGATGGCCCATGAGGTCTCTTCCAACTCTTTGATTCTATGATAGGGAACATGAAAACAGTTTGGCACCTGGCCCAGCTGCAGAAATTAATGAGCAGATAGATTGACGTGAGGAGATCAATCAAAACAGGAAAGCCGAACAGTGGCTTCGGCGTTCTGCCAGGTTCCGAGAGAAAAAGATAAGAAATTATCAGCTAAAGCGAAACCAATTTTTGAGTGCTAGAGACATAGCTAACGAGAAGATAAAAGTCCCAAGTACAGGATATGTAGTCAGATGAAACATCGTTTGGAATCAAGTCAAGATCTCGTCTTTGTTCATGGAAAACTTACTTGGGAAATTCATATTTAAGTGCCTTTGTTTCATGGTTTTGATTCTTAGATTGTATGCTTCTATATTCATGCCTTGGATTCATGTTTCTTGATTTCTTGCATTTTATTTGGGAAGTTTGACTTTGTTTTTATGAACTTTGCTGGATTATTTCTCTGGACTTCTTTGTTCCTGCTTATCTTCCTACCTAATTGGATTTACCTATTGTTTCAAAGTGCTTTTTAAAAAAATTACTGCTTTCTAATTATCTTCAACAAAAGTATTGTTTTCCATCCAACGGTGTGGTGTTTAAAGTCAGAGGGCTTTTCCTGTCCTGGAGTGCAACATATATTGTATTTACATATTATGTGTAAGCCGCTGTGAGTCCTCATTGGGGTGAGAAGGGCGGCATATAAATGTCGTAAATAATAAATATCTCACTTCTCTTAGAGGAGACTCGCGTCCTAGAGTATGCTTGGGCCAACTTTGGCCCTCTGGGTGTTTTGGACTTCAACTCCCACAATTCCTAACAGCCTACCGGCTGTTAGGAGTTGTGGGAGTTGAAGTCCAAAACACCCGGAGGGCTGAAGTTGGCCCATGCTTGCCTTACATTTTATTTGGGAAGTTTTGACTTTGTTTTTATGGACCTTGCTGGACTATTACCCTGGACTTCTTTGTTCCTGCTTATCTTCCTACCTAATTGGATTTACCTATTGCTTTAAAGTGTTTTTTTTACCTTACTCCTTTACCTTACTCCGAAGTTGGCCCATGCCTGCCTTAGAATGAGTCTTTCTGGGCCCCCTGCCTGCGTCCAGCATTGAGAGGAATGGCAGCTCCGTCCCTTGTTGTTGGGGGCTATTTTGGGCCGGGTGACCTGTCCGTCCTGCATGTTGTGATAAATACACGGAAGCATTTGCGTCCCGCCTCGCAGGGGAAAGGGCGCAGAGGCAGAGCTGCTGCCCGGCTCGGGGCCCGGCGGCAGGAGGACGCAATGTTCCCCTTTCCCGGGAAGAACACAAAATGGGCACCCCTCCTTTGGGTCACTCCGGACAGACTCCGCTGAGCCGCGCTGGACTCTTGGGTCTCCTCTCTAGCAGGTATCCAGGCACAGGAGGGATTATTGTGACAGCGCCCGAGCTGGGGAGGTTTCCCAAAGCGTTCCTCCTTTGTTTGCAAAGTTCTGGAAGTTTTGTTCCCAGGCATTGTGGAGAGGTTGTTGGCCTTCCAGTGACCCAAGGAAGGTGCATGGTGTTTTTGGAGAGGTCTCAAAGGGCTGTTGTCCGAGGGGACAGCATGGGAGCCGGCAAATAGACTCCTAAAACAAGAAAATGGGAGGCAAGGGAATGGATTCCCAGAGATGATCCTTTGGTCTCGACTCATCGCTTAGTTTCTGTTGCCATTTGGAAAGAAGGTGAGATGACAGATTGGTTGCGCCACGGCTTCAATTATGTGGATTTCTCTCTCGCAAATTACCCACCACATCCCATGATCTCTTCTCTGTGTGTTTCTTGGAAAACTATCTAGAGGCTTTTTGTTTTTTGTCTATCAAATAGGAAAGATTTCCCAGTGTCTCCACTCCAAAACCTTCCTTGCAGTACTTTTGGAGTGAAAGCAATTCTGCTGTCATTATAGAATCATGGCATAGCAGCATTGGAAAAGATCTTAGTGGTCATCTAGTCCACCCCACAGCTTTCTATCCTTGGCTGGCTGTTTTTATTAAATAAATTTATTTATTTACAGCATTTCTGCCCCGCTCTTCTCACCCCCGCAGGGGGGCTCAGGGCGGCTACCAATGGCAATGATTCGATGCCGCAATAATTACAATTATAAAAGCAAAATAAAATCATACAATATAATACATTAAAACAACATTAGTTATCCAATCATAAAGGCATCTCCATTATAACAACCATCTGGTTGTTCAGGTGCTGTTATATCCATTATTGTATGTTATTTTGTTGCTTCATTCAAATGTTTTATTTTGTTAATGTAATTTGATGCTGCTGCTTGTTGCTTAAGTTTTGGTTTTATTTTTGCTCTAATATGCTTGGCCCCATGTAAGCCGCTCCGAGTCCCCTTCGGGGAGATGGTGGCAGGTTATAAATAAAGATTATTATTATTATTAGCCAAAATCCTGGTTCCACAACCACGTCTTCAGTTTCTTCTGAAAGAAAGGAGAGAGGACGCCAATCTAATTTCGCCGGGGAGCAAATTCCACAGGCCGGGGGGGGGGGGGTCACCACCGAGAAGGCCCTGTCCCATGTCCCCACCAGCCACGTTTGTGAAGCTGATAGGACCGAGAGCAGGGCCTCCCTGGCAGATCTTAGACTACGAGGTGGAACACAGAGCTAGATACGTTCGGACAAGTAATGTATTAAGGGGTCACAGCATTAGGAAGGTTGAGAACCACTGCCATAAATAGTTCCGGCCCAGCTTACCTGTCTGAATGTATCTCTCCCTATGAACAGTTAGGAGCTTAAGCTCATCTGGGGAGGCCCTGCTCTCGGTCCCACCTTCTTCGCAGATGCGATTGGTGGGAATGAGAGACAGGGCCTTCTCAGTGGTGGCCCCTCGGCTATGGAACACCCTACCTAGGGATATCAGATCGGCCCTCTCCCTCCTAACATTTCAAAAAAGAGTTAAAACCTGGCTTTTGTCGAAGGCTTTCATGTCCGGAATCACTGGGTTGTTGTAGGTTTTTTCGGGCTATATGGCCATGTTCTAGAGGCATTCTCTCCTGACGTTTCGCCTGCATCTATGGCAAGCATCCTCAGAGGTAGTGAGGTCTGTTGGAACTAGGAAAATGGGTTTATATATCTGTGGAATGACCAAGGTTGGACAAAGAACTCTTTTCTGCTAGAGCTAGGTGTGAATGTTTCAACTGACCACCTTGATTAGCATTTGATGGCCTGGCAGTGCCTGGAGCAATCTTTTGTTGAGAGGTGATTAGATGTCCTTGTTTGTTTCCTCTCTGTTGTTGTGCTGTTCTAATTTTAGAGTTTTTTTAATACTGGTAGCCAGATTTTGTTCATTTTCATGGTTTCCTCCTTTCTGTTGAAATTGTCCACATGCTTATGGATTTCAATGGCTTCTCTGTGTAGTCTGACATGGTGGTTGTGAGAGTGGTCCAGCATTTCTGTGTTCTCAAATAATATGCTGAGCACCTGATGAACCAACCTGGACCTCAGGATGCTTGCCATAGATGCAGGCGAAATGTCAGGAGAAAATGCCTCTACAACATGGCCATATAGCCCAAAAAAACCTACAACAACCCAGTTAAAACCTGGCTCTTAGAGCAAGTATTTGCAAATGCAGTGTAAGAGACGAATCTAGATATATGGAACGATTGGACAATGCGACGGGAAGATGATTTTCGTAATGAGACGCTCAGGACTTACGACTTTTATTGTTTCTACTGCTTTTATATGGCCTATATTATATGTTAATGTTTTTTAATTATATTTTATGTCGTTGGTGGTATTGCTTGCTGATTGTAAACCGCTTCGAGTAGCCTTCGGGCTGAGAGGTGCGGTGTGTGTGTGTGTGGTAAATAAATAAATAATAAACAAACTTTTGCATTGCAATTGCTTTGGGCCCCCATTGACACAGGTTTCTTGGTGGGCCTCTCCTCCCTTGCCTTGGCCTGTTTAAGAGCAACCCCTCCTGGTCCCTCTCTCATGACTCCTGTCTCTGGTCCAGCAGCTGGTCAAATGTCTTGCACTGAGTCAAAAAGTTTCTGGGACAGCCTCCTTTTTGGGGGGTGGGCTCCAGAGGGGCCAGACTGCAACTCCCAGAATCCTTCAGTGGTGGGTCTCAGTCCAACCCTTCCGGAGGGCTCGGGCTCTTGTCATGGCAAGCTGAAGCTCATGCAATGGAGAAACTTCCTTTGTTCTTGGGAATGCAAGCATAAGTCCACCCATCTTCCCTCCTTCTCTTGCAATCTCTCTCTCTCTCTCTCTTCCTCTCCTCCTTCCAGCCGGTTCTCCCAGTCCAGGATCTAGCTTGTTAAGCGCAATTAGCCCCGGATTGCCCCATGCCTGCTGTCTGTTCTGTCTGGGCTTGGCAAAAGGCGAGGCTTGCCTTGGTGTCGTGGGAGACGCCTGGGCTTTGCAGCTGGGGTTGGGTTGGGGATACTGGGTTCCCGGAAGATGGGCTGGGAGGAGAAGAGAGGCAAACGGATGGACCGTCAGTAGTAGCAATCTCCATCATTAGGTTCTTGTGGCTTTTTTGGGGCTATATGGCCATGTTCTAGAGGCATTTTCTCCTGACATTTCGCCTGCATCTATGGCAAGCATCCTCAGAGGTAGTGAGGTCTGTTGGAATTAGGAAAGGCACTGCAGACTACTTCAACCAGAGAAGTCAGCCATAGCAGAGCACCTGATGAACCAACCTGGACACAGCATATGATTTGAGAACACAGAAATGCTGGACCACACCAACAACCACCATGTCAAGCTACACAGAGAAGCCATTGAAATCCACAAGAAGCATGTGGACAATGTCAACAGAAAGGAAGAGACCATGAAAATGAACAAAATCTGGCTACCAGTATTAAAAAACTCTAAAATTACAACAGCAAAACAGCAGAGAGGACACAACCAGGCACATCTTAACACCTCTCAACAAAAGATTCTCCCAGGCTCAGCCAGGCCTCCAAATGTTAATGAAGGTGGTCAGTTGAAACATTCACACCCAGCTCCAGCAGAGAAGAGCTCTTTGCCCCACCCCAGTCATTCCACAGATATATAAACCCAGTTTCCTAATTCCAACAGACCTCACTACCTCTGGGGATGCTTGCCATAGATGCAGGCGAAACGTCAGGATAAAATGCCTCTAGAACATGGCCATATAGCCCGAAAAAAGCCACAAGAGCCTAGTGATTTCATCCATGAAAGCCTTCGACAATCCATCAATCTCCATCATGTTTGGCTGTTTCGGCATAACAAGATACGAAGGAATCCTCCCTTTGAGACTCCCTGAGACAAAGGAATTTCAATCAGAAGCGTTCATCAACTCCAGTTCTTTTCCTTAGGTGCAAAAGGACTAGAGCAGTGTTTCTCAACCTTGGGGTCAGGACCCCTGGGGGGTTCATAAGAGAGTGTCAGAGGGGTCGCCAAAGTCCATCAGAAAACACAGTATTTTCTGTTGGTCATGGGGATCCAGTGTGGGAAGTTTGGCCCAATTCTATTGGTGGGGTTCAGAATTCTCTTTGATTGTAGGGGAACTATCAATCCCAGCAACTACAACTCCCAAATGTCAAGGTCTATTTTCTCCAAACATCTCCAGTATTCACATTTGGGAATATTGAGTATTCATGCCAAGTTTGGTCCAGATCCATCATTGTTTGAGTCCACAGTGATCTCTGGATGTAGGTGAACTACAACTCCCGAACTCAAGCTCAATGCCCACCAAACCCTTCCCGTATTTTCTCTTAGTCGTGGGAGTTCTGTGTGCCAAGTTGGGTTCAATTCCATTGTTGGTTGAGTTCAGAATGATCTTTGATTGTAGGCGAACTATAAATCCCAGCAACTACAACTCCCAGATGTCAAAGTCTATTTTCCCCAAACTCCACCAGTTTTCACATTTGGGCATATTGAGTATCCGTGCCAAGTTTGATCCAGATCCATCATTGTTTGAGTCCACAGTGGTCTCTAAATGTAGGTGAACTACAACTCCCGAACTCAAGCTCAATGCCCACCAAACCCTTCCAGTATTTTATCTTAGTTGTGGGAGTTCTGTGTGCCAAGTTGGGTCCAATTCAATTGTTGGTTGAGTTCAAAATGCTCTTTGATTGTAGGCGAACTATAAATCCCAGTAACTACAACTCCCAAATGACAAAATCAACCCCCCCACCCCCACCCCACCAGAATTCAAATTTGGGTGTATTGAGTATTTGTGCCAAATTTGGTCCAGTGAATGAAAATATATCCTGCAGATCAGATGTTTACATTACAATTCACAACATTTGCAAAATCCCATTTATGAAGGAGCAACGAAAATAATTTTGGGTTGTTGTAGGGCTTTTTTCGGGCTATATGGCCATGGTCTAGAAGCATTCTCTCCTGACGTTTCGCCTGCATCTATGGCAAGCATCCTCAGAGGTTGTGAGGTCTGTTGGAACGAGGAAAAAGGGTTTATATATCTGCGGAATGACCAGGGTGGGACAAAGGACTCTTGTCTGCTGGAGCTAGGTTTGAATGTTTCAACTGACCATCTTGATTAGCATATCATGGCCTGACAGTGCCTGGAGCAAACTTTTGTTGAGAGGTGATTAGATGTCCTTGTTTGTTTCCTCTCTGTTGTTGTGCTGTTGTAATTTTAGAGGGTTTTTTTACTACTGGTAGCCAGATTTTGTTCATTTTCATGGTTTCCTCCATGAAATTGTCCATATGCTTGTGTATTTCAATGGTT